TCCAAGGAGGCCGGCTGGCTGAAAGCAGGGAACTGGGGTTTGTTTAGCTTCTATAATTGCAACATTGTTGCTTGTGCAGCTCAGAGCCTGGCCTCAGAAGGCAGGGAACCTTGGCTTCCTCCATCACTGGAGCAAGCAAGCCTCATATTTGCTTCAGCTGCGTGGCTGCCGGCCGCCATCTTTGTTGGCAGTTAATTTGCATATCCTGCTGATTAGCCAACGGAAAGTGTAGCAGAGGTATGGTTAATTACCATGTTTGTCTATTATTAGATAGGATTTTAAATCTCTGGGTCTGCAGGGTTGTGATGCAAGTCTCTCCTGAGCTTGTCAGATTTATGACCTCTTTTCATCCACAAACAGGACCTTTAAGATGACTCCAATTGAAGGTTTTCAACATTTCAGCAGTTTTTAAGTAGAGTGATACCATAACCTACTTATAAATGGAAGCAAATGAAAGAGTTCTGGTCAAAGTGGGTCAAGGCTCTGATCTGTTCCCTTCTCCTGCCTTCCTTCACACCTTTCACGGGCATTGATGAAGCATAGCTGCTGACAAACACACAGAAGCCAAGACATTACTGAAAACCGGAACCCAAGAAGTACACAGGCAGAACTGTTGAATCTGGGACGCGGTGCTCCCATTTTGGCAGCTACTCAGGATGTAGGAGGGAAGAAAGCAAACCCAGGATACACCTACTATGAAGAGTGACATAGAGACTCTATGAAGCTGGGACCCCAGGAGATTACAGTCGCAGAACAAGGATAAATCAGAACTAAGAAAGCAGCAAGAGAACTACCTGCCTTAATATTGGTGCCATGCAGAAGAGCGAGAAAACTCCTTTAGAATTCTTAAGTAGAAGCCACCCTTCTGACAGAATTAAAGCTAAGTTTCAGGAGAAACAAAATGGCAGTGTAATAGGCAGATGTGTCCCGAGCCTTGTCCTGGAGCATATAGGAACAACTAAATTGAATAACATCCACCCTGAATTGGTGAAGTAGACACAGCTGGTGAGACAATTCACAGCCGGGAAGGGCAGAGGACTCCTGGAGAATGGTAAAATCAGGGATCTGGGCTGGAGAGAATTACAAGACTTCAAAGCCCAGAGGGTCAGAAGGAAGCCACATGGCATCAAGTCCGCGTCCCTTGGGACAGGCAGCTGGCAGCAGGGGATTCTAGATCTAAGCCCACAGTCATGAGAGGCTGAGCTCTGAGGAGGCAGCCTGAACAACTACCCAAGCCACACCATGTAGGGGGGAGAGTTCTTTCCCCTCATTGGTCTTTTCTTTTATTCGCTAAACCCAGTTCATAGGACCTTTCAAATACAAACACTCATCCATGGCTGAGGTGCAGACTTATGGAGTCTGGGGAGAGGCTGGGGAGAGGAACCGCTCAGGGAGAGGTGGCCAGGAGTCTGGCATTGAGTCATATCTGACGTGCCAGACCTAGGCAGCCATTATCTCCTGAAGAGATAACCCCTCCCTGCAGTCTCCAGACAACTAATATCGCCACACTCAGACTACATCCTGAGTGCTACAAAGGATACAAAAAAAATCTGAGAGATCCTTCAGTCCCTAAAAGCCATATGGCAACCTCCCCAACTATAGCCCTGTCAGAAACAGCCACTTGAGAGATTAAGATTGAAAGTGGGCAGATAGGCTTAGTGGGAAGATTGATCCTGCCAGCTGGTAGTCAAGGCTGTGGAAATAGTCACAAACAGAAGACAGTGGACTGCTTGGAACTTCAACAATCTAACAGGAACCTGAGAAGTGGCAGACAATACAGAAGAATGGGATCTTAAACAGCCGCCATGGGGGATTAAAACTTGGTGGACACTTAACTTTTTCATTTTTATTTTATTATTATTTTGTTATCTCTCTTTTTCTTCTTTTTTCTGTATTTCCATTTTTTGTTTGTTTCTTTATTTTTATTTCTTCCCGCATTATTTTTCATCATTATATTTCTATTTTTTCTATTTTTATTTTATCCTATTTTTAATTAATTTTTAAAAATTTTTTTCTACTTTCTCTTTCTTCTTATCCACTCATTCTCTTCCTACTTCCTCTATATGAGCTGAGGTCCATGCCATATTCATCCAATTCCTTAACCTTATTTCCTGTATATAAACTCAGCCTCTACAGATTCTGCCCCCGCCCTTTTTTCTGAGTGTTTGGTGTTTGCATTTTTTTGGTGTATCTGTTTGTTCTGTGGTGTTTCTCCATATACATACACTGAGTGGCCAGATTATTATGACCACCCCATCAGTATTTCGTTGGGCCACCTTTTGCCTTCAATGCTGTGGTGATTCTTCTTGGCATTGACTCCATGAGATGTTGAAAGGTGATGCAAAGAATCTGACACCATGCCTGATGAATAACACTGTCCAGTTTTGTGAGATTTGATGGTTGTGGAACCAGCTGCCTGATGGCTCTTTTAACTTCGTCCCACAAATGCTCAATTAGATTGAGATCTGGTGATTGTGGGGGCCCACTAAGCAAGGTAA